CTGACAGCAGAGAAGTCCCGGTTCCTGGATGAGTCCTACCAACATGTTGTCAGACTGGAGCAGATCGCTCTGAAAGCTGATTCAGCATCCACTATTGTCCACTTGGACTTCCTGATTGAGAAGATGAAGGAGAAAGGAAACACAGAGAAGGTCCAGAAACTGGAGGAGATGAGAAGCAGAGTGCATGAAAAAAACAAAAAAGCAGCATATTGGTACAAGTTTACTCAAACAGCATCAGCTATCAGAGGGAAATCCTTGGTCTGGCATAAGTGAAGCATGTAAAGAAGCATCATGCAGCTGTGTGAATGGCTTTTTTTCTGACACACTCTATGCTACATGTTCAGATGTACACCACATGGCTCTTTGTTGTTGTTTTTGTTGTTTTTGCTGACAGATGGCATATTACTTTTAAAAAAGCCTGTTATTGATTATTGATCAGCACTGACGTCTCTACTTAGAGATCAGTCAGTTTGTTTAGCAGTTCTTTGGTCCTAAGGAGAAGTTACTGTGGCTCACTGTTCGTTTTATGCATCTGACATCAAATCTGTACCAAATACAACATGTGGCTCTGTGTGCGTTGGTGATGCCTGCAGAAAAATGTCGATTGCTTCCAACATTATTTTCATCTCAAGAAAAAAAATGTTATGAAGGAATTTTCCAAATATGTGAGAAATGTCATTGAATTTATATCATTTATACATGACATGAAAATGATTGATCAGTAAAAATATGATGACCTTTCTATCAAAGTTCTCAGTAGTCAGTATAATCTTTTAATGATATAAGTTTGCATATGGTAGAATAGTGCATGTTGAGCTTTTGATGACTTAGGCTGTTGGGTGGTGATGATGGGTTTAAATTTTATTATTGTAATTTGTATTAAGAAATATTTAACCATATATGCTTGATAGGATGTGTGATCCGTAATAGTCTGCAAAGGAGAACACTCTGCATTCCAGAGTGCTCTGGCATTCACGCCCACATCCTGGGAGCGTGGGAGAGGTCGTACCTTCTCTTATTGTTTTATGGTAGGATAAACGTCGCTATGTCAGTTTTAGGCTAAGTTCCTTTTGTTTAGATGAACTGTTGGACTTCCAGACCAGCAGGTTTAGGGAAGTCTTTATGGGGTCACACTATGACCAGGGGCAGGGGGCGAGTCCCGGAGCCCTCACTTAAGAATATATCTCTTGACATTTATTTTGGTCCTCTTTTAATCATGTGGTGATATTATTTTGTATTTTTATGGTGGCTGATAGTCAATTCAGTGAGACGAATTGATTGTTGATGTGGACATGATGGCCTCCTTGTAAGACGGGAACATCATGTATGCTTTCATATTTTATCCAGTTATTAAAAAAATTATAAATTATAAAGAATACTGTCCTGATTTCGTATTTTGAGGTAAGAGACAAACGACTGCAAAGTCCCCGTGAGGTGCGTCAAAACAATGATTTTATTTAAACATATATGTGGGAAGCCGAGCACGATCACCCAAAAAGCATCGATCTTCCCAGAGCCATAAATGAGCAGTCATATATATAACATGGTTGATGACGAGCATCATGCGTCAAAGCAGATAGCTAACATCCATCAGTTCCAGTAATTCCGACCTTGGACACATTCAAAAAAGAACAGTTCCTTCTTCTGTTCCTCTGCCAGATGCTTCCTGTTATTTCATTTAGTGCACTTCACTCATCTGTGGAAGTAAACTGTCACGTACGCAGGTAAAACAATTTTGCAGTTTCGAGCAAAACAAGTCTAGATACTGTGTATGTGTGCAGGCAGCCTATGTGTGTCTTGACCTCAGTGCATGACCTATTCTGAGTCATCTGTTACCAGGCAAACTCCAATGCAGCAGGCTGCTGAGTGCACACAGGCCTGTATTCTGTTTACAGGTTATATGTGGTGTATTGTATTGTAAGCATGTATGCAATCCTTTCGTAGCTCGATGCATTTCTCAATTGATCGGGCGGAAGTCGCGCTGCCCGAAGCTTCAGACCATCAACTGACCGAGCTTCAACTCTTTAATTAGCACAAAAATGCAATATGGATAACATGATTACAGTTGCACCTGCAATGAAAGATTATTATGTAATTAAGTTCACACCTGAAATACAGACTTTAATGTAACATCAACAGCTTCAATAAATGCTCTGATGAAATGATAATGATAAACGATAAGTGATGCAACAGTAATGATAATGGTTATGAATGGTAAAACTTAAGCTAATAGTGACCCAAAAGGTTTCTGGACTTTTTTTAGAGAACCAGTGAGAAGCATAAATCATTATTTCCATGTTTAAGCATTAATCATTGAAATGAACTGAATAGCGTTTAGATGATAAAATGCCTGTGTTCATGAGAAGCTGAGTACCACACTGGAGAGGAAACCGTGGGACAGTAGGTGGAAGCAAACACATGAAAACGGGGGGCAAATGTTAGGATTAAAAATGGCTAATTTGTTTTTGATGTCTTTTGTTAAAATGAGTGGTTTTAATAATTTTCAGACACACCTTGCAAATGTGCTTTTAACGAGTTGGCACTTGGTCTTTTGAAGGTCATAAGCTTCGTTCGGCGTGATGGTTCGGACTGATATATTGCAGGTATTGACTTTGAGTGCAGAGGGCTAAATGCAAACACGCTTACACACACATAGGATATGATTAGAATAAGTCCCTGGGACATGCTGAATATTCTAAACCAATTCTGAATCACTAGAAGGTCAGTAGATAACAACATTAGATTATTAGACTAGGAGGAGAGGTGTTTTGGTTTTGTTTAGATTAGAACAACATTAGAACAACGTGACAGAAACACATGTATTTGTGGAGATAGTGACATCAGACAGCTGTTCTCACACACTGTTGTACTGATCGTTAAACAGCAGGGGGCGTCCTCACTGCATTTACAGCACAGCTGGCAGCTCAGACCAGCTCTGCTCTGCATAATAACTCACTGAGGAGTTTATGTAGTAATACTTGTCATGTGCTGTTACATAAGTACAAATACCTGTGTGAAATACATGTAGTAACAGTAAAATAATATTCTAATCTCCGCAATACTCCTCCATACCTGCTTCATACACTGGAGGACGGGGCTGTGGCCCCCCCACACTCCCTAGCAGATC